GCTCTATCACTCACATCCAGAAGTGGACAGGGGAGGGAAAATATCTTGAAGATTCATGAATTAAAGAGTACTTATCTCATGTATATTTATAATGGCATTTACTGAATGTTTACAGTTCTATTCACCTGAAAAGTATAGAATTTTTTCTCTCTCCTCAGGAATAACAGTTTTATTAGCTGTGAATAACTCAGAAGAATTAAGCAAGTATTTGGTGAGTTTTGAGAAAGCTTAACAGACTCCCTGTCATGAATGTTGGAAAACATAAAAATTTAAAAGGTTTTGAATTTTTTGTGTTTTTTTTTTCTTTTTTATTTCAAAGATTTTGGTAGAGAGTGATCTTACCTGTAGAAGACAAAAGCAAGACAAAATAATTCCATTATATAAAATTAGTGCAAAAAATTCAATGTTGTCTATATTAGTAAAAATGATATTGTGGTTCCTTAGTCTTGCTGAGGAATGCTTACTACTGAGTAATCTCACTGGCAACATATGTATAATGCATCTGAGGTGCAAAATGGGGATTCTTGATCTGGCACAACTCAAACAGTGATCAAAAAGAAGTTATTTTTCTCCTGAGAAATATGGTTTGCCTTTCTAAAGGAAACACACAAAAAAACCCCACCTTAAGGCTGTTCAGACAGTTATCCAAAAGGTTTTTTTCTCATATCTCTAAGTACCAAAAGCGAGATAAAAAGATGCAAACCATAGGCAGATACAAATCTGTAAAAAAATAATGCCATTTCAGTTTTCCCAGGAACAAGTATTGAACTCTACAGTAACAAAAATATAAGAAAAATCCAGAAAAATATGACATAAATCTATGGAAACTAGGACACCTAACATGTATATGTTTTTCACTTACTAAATTTGGGTGATCTAATATAAACTTCCTAATTTGGTCATGTTTGATATTTGCAATCATTGTTCATTCATTTCTCTTATAATTTAACAAATTAGACATTGGACTGCACAATACAATAGTACAATAAAAATCTGGGATGGAGTACTGACAGTTTTGTTACTTTTAAAATAGACTTAATATGTAGCATACTTTTAAAAAATGTGTTCTAACTGTATTTTTTCTAATGTAAACTTTTTCATTAAGAGAACAGTTTATATAAGAGTCAAGACATATCTGAATGCTGGTTGTAAAGCAAGAGGGATGACATCCCTCTAAAATGTTAACATTTCTGGTAATAAAGTCACTTTTTCAATTAAATAAAACTTTTTCTCTATCTAATATCTAATTTTCATGCCAGGCTCATGTAAGAGTGAGGTCAAGAAAAGTACTGTTAAAAATATGACTGTGTTTTGTTACTTTATTAGTGTCTTTAATCATTCATTCATTTACTTGTCCAGAATGTCCCTTTTTATAGAGTATGAGTATAAAATGTGATCTCAGACACTATCTTGCTTCATAAAATACTGCTGATAACAATTCTAGGAAGAAATCCTGTCATACGTTTCTATAAAATCATATTGTTAGAAGCAGAGGATTCATTCTTATCATCATATTTAATTGGGTTCATTAAGAGAAGTATTTCCCCATGTTCTTGTGGAACCTTTGCACTAATTTCTTCATTGATGGTAGTCGAGTCATACCACATTGTATTGGAATATGTTACACCATAAAGCGGTTCTGGGATGAAATGAATTGTGACTTCTACATTTCAGCTTCTCTCTCACCCCTTGATGCTTGGCAAGGAAGCCCACGCCAACACTCTCTAAAATAGTCTCTTCTCTACATCCTGTAAATTCATGCCACCTATGTACAATCCTGAGGTGTTAGCAGAGGACTTCCTCTAAAGCATTTGCACTTTATTCATGCAGGGTAATCGTCTAAACAGTTAGCTGACCCTTCTTTCTGGAGAATTACAGCTCCAATAAACTTTTGAGCATTGGTTTGTAAGCCAGAAATCACACTCTGTCATCAAGATCCACTTCTACACATAGTTTATCATCTAATTTAATTTAATGTTATGTTAACTGATCTAAATTTGTGTTGGCACACGTGAAAGTCACAACCTTTGAAAACAGGGCTTCTGTCATTATGAACCACAGGATCTCATCTTTGCAGAAGAAATTTCTGCAAAGAGCTTTTCAGCTTCTTTTTTTTTTTTTTTCTTAATTGTGATAAGTTCTTTAATACCTTTCAGTGTTTTAGCTAATATAATTCCATGGGATGATCAACTATTTCAATTAAACCGCATTATTTATATTTTTTCTACCAGTATCTTATTTTTATTCAGACATCCATGACTGTAACCTTAGCCTGCAACTTAGTACTTTCAAATGTCTCCCATCTTCTGTCTTGTTTTGTTATGAAGCCTTAAATTTTACTTTCATATCTCTTCTTACAAATACACCCCTGAGCTGAATTCAGTTTTATTGTAGAAACCAAAATGTAGTGTCTTCTGGGTTCCTCTTCATTATATTTCCTTCATTTTTCAAGAAATTGGGTTTAGAGGTGTTACAGAGAGTCTTGGAATTTTTTTTTTTAAGTTATGTTTTTGCTTTTAATTTATGTTTCTATGAGACCATTTTTCTTAGTATTTAAAGGCATCAGCTCTGGTCTGAGCAAGGACACCTCTGCTGAAATCCTGGAGTTGTATCCATTACTGCTAGGGTTAACGTGTGGCATTTTATGATGTACTTCATGGCACATTTCATTCTAATGTGATCTGGAGAGAAATAAACAAAGTGTTGTACAGTGGCAGGGTGGGAAATAGGAAATACTCAAATGTATGCATTGTTTCTGCAGAGGTCAAAGTTTTACTTGTCCTAACTCAGAAGTGATACAAATAATCAACCTTGTTTCCAACAGTCAGCTCAAACACATGTCAGAGGACACATTACATGGAATCTAGAAGGTCAGTAACTCCAGGACCTAATAATTCCAAGATAGTGAGAACATTTTCAAGAAAGTTTTCTTCTGAAAAACTGAGTCTTTTCTTAGTTTACTCTGTTCATGAGATATCTGCTGATTAACTAATATACCCTGTACAAACAGGAGCTGTTGTGTGGACACTGTTTCAGCATGTCTAGAGTTATCAGAAGGGGATCCAGCTTCCTGGAGCTTCACACAACACCCATATAGAGCTGATAATGATTATATGATACAACAAGAACTACCATTTCCTTTCATTATTTTTTTTACTTCGAGAATTGTGAATTTTCCAGACTTTTCACTACTCTCTTTTTACAATATGTTCCTTTCAGATCCCACAAAATTTGTGTTCTTCCTCATGCTTTTCAATCCTGTTTATTAGACACATGTGAGTAATAAAATACTTCAGGTTGACTCATGTTGATATTTTCTCATAAAAAAAGATAGCTGGACTAAGATTAGCCTCCTCCAGTGCTATTCCCCCACAGGTTACAAGAAATACATGCCATGGAGTTTGGCCCCCTCCCTTTTTGTGTTCCCTCTGTTATTTCTCACTATTTTTGTTCGCTCTTCCTCTGCCCATGTGGTGTTTTCTGCCTTTGCTGAAATACATTTTTCCAAGAAGCACTACTATCATTGCCAGTGGGCTCATCTGTGCCCTTCACTGGGTTCATTGAAGCCAGTTGGAATTGGCTGTCCAAGGGGTAGCCCCAGCCTTTTCCCACAGGAGCTGCCTACGCTTCCTTTCTATCTGAAAGGAAGACACTGCAAAGATATATTAATAGAGCAAATACTTGTTATAGGCAGCAAGTTTTTTTCAACCTTCCTATAGCTAACACAGAATTTATTGGTAGTAAGGAACCAGAATTAAAATTTATGTTCAATGTCTTCTCTCAGTGCTTCCAAAACCAAAGGAAATAGATGGTTTTCTTCCCAGTTTGCTATTCATTTCGGCTTAAAATCTTCGTGGAAGACACTGGAGAAATAGAAGCTTCATCTTAGTGCTGTACATGAGAAAGGGACAGGCAGAATCTGGAACATTTAATTTTACTACCAGCCCAGACACCAACAGCGTAACAATCACGTCATAAAGTGTAAGATGGGAGGAGGAGGGATAGGAGAAGAATAAAGTTTTAATTGATATGTGTTTTTCTCATTCTTACTCTGAAAGGCAAGGAAATACAGCAAAATCTGTATCAGGTTATAGCGTAGCGTAAAAGCCATTCCTTAGCAGAAGGAAGCGACTCAACTTGTAATTGTGAAGGCCATAGTCAAGCTGACTGGGCTTGGTATTTGGGAACAGTATAAATGGTTATTAAAATATAGGTCTCATTCAAGTTGCTATGACAGGGCAGAGGGATGGACCATTACAAGGTCAGATCATGCCAATTTTCATGGTAGACTTCAGTCCAGCAAGCCAATCAATCATCCATTACATTTAAGATTTTAACTAAACTAAGCTTGAAATAGAGGTCCACAATTATGTCAGGGAGAAATGCATGAAAAAGTGTGAAAATAGATTTGGAAACAAAAAAAAAAGATTACCCATTTTGGCTCCAAAACATTACCAACTTATTACAGTAAGAGTAGCCTTTAGGAAAGTCAGCTTTAAATACATTTTTACTGCATAAATATGAAATAACAAACCTTTTTTAAAGGAATATTTAGTTTATTTTATATTTCTCTTATATAGTGTGTTACATTGGATAAGGACTACTTTGGATACTCACTCCCTTAGATTAAGTATTTTAAAATACATATATAAATACATATATAAATAACTTTGGAGAGGGGAAATTATCAAAAGGGAAGAAGAAGCCATGAAAAATAAGAAATAATATACATCTTTTCATTTATTTATAAATTATACTTATATTTTGCATTGTAAAATTATCGTTACTAAATACCACATTTTCAGGCTTTACTAATGTCATTTGTACTCATTTTACTGTACAAAAATATGAAAAAATTTCATTTTTACCTAGATCTCATCTTTTTTTGTATTGTTATTAATGTTGGCAGATGTTTTTAAAGAAACCCCTAGCCTATCTACTCACAGCATTTCATTATTTTGGACTCAAAAAACCCAGCAGCAATAGAGAAAACAAAGGGATTTCTCAAACTGAATTTACACAGCTGTGTAGCTGAATGAAAATACATGGTCAATAGGTATGTGTTGCTGGGGTAGGGTTTGCTTTTCTGGATGTATTTCCTAACTGAAGAAAGTCAATAGTTAAGATCTTCAAAGTCAGTAACTCACAGATCTTCAGAGTTCACCTTTTCAGAAACATCAGATTGAAACTTGACTGTTGTGAAAGGATATCTCTGTGCTTGTTTCCAGTTCTAGAGAAACCTAGAAATTCAGAAGATATAAAATACTTCTGAATGTGCTAAAATGAATGTTTTGAAAGATTTGACCAGGATTAAATCCCCAAAAATATATTTCCAGATGCTTTTTCCAAGGTAAAACAATGATCTTCTGTATTTGCAATGCAGCTTATTTTCTCCTCTGTTTTTCCATTAAGCATGTATGAATTGAGGTAGCCATGAGAAACCCAGTACCTGTTTCAAATACATTTTCCTGAATTCTGTTCTCCATAGTATTATGCATATTATTTTTGTAACCACTTCTCTTACCAAAATTCACTATAAGCAACAAAATATTTTTCTTGTATTCTTTCCTAACTCTATGGTATTATTCATGTCTTTACATGTATTTAGTAGCCTAAACTGGAAAAGTTAAAATTCTCAGGTTATCATTGTATAAATAATGTAAATGGTCTCTTCATTAACTCTTTCAGAGAAGAAAGAGAGTTAAAGCAAATAGAGGAATACAGTATAATCCAAAAAAAAGAAAACCTTTTTTTTTTTTTAGTCTACTGATGAATATCCCATTTTACTATGTTATAGCATAGAGGAAACTGTCAAATGTTCTAATCAAAATTAAAAAGAAAAATGGAAATATTCAGAACATGAAACATTACAATTAAGAAGGAAATAAACATAAATATCAATAAAATTATATATAAAATACTAAGATATTAACACATACTATTTGTCCTGAATACTACAAGAAAATTAAAACATTTTTGTGTGTTGGAGAAAAGAATCTTTGAATTGTAACATTTCAGCTTCATGTAATGAATGTTCTTTTCTAGCATTGTCAGATAACAACAGTGAAATAAGCATTTCAAGCAGAATGAAGAAATGCCTTGTATCTGAAAATTATGTTAGAGAACATAAAACCAATCCTTTCTATTAATCCAGGTGCTCAAGCAATTCAGTTTGTCTTCTGCCTAAAGGGATCTAATAAGATCAATGAGAACAAAAGGAGAACCAAGGACTTCTCATGAGAAAGACTAATGAGTATTCAAATATCAAACAGACTCAGACATTAATTAGTTAACTATTTGAACATTTCAAGTTGATATGAGCAAACCAACAAACAAGCAAATCTCTAGCCCTTGTTACATAGTTCTCTAGAAAGTTCTTTAATTACACCCATGGGAAAAGAAAATATTTGACCACACCTTGAAGACAAGCAAGTAGATCACAAGCAAGAACATTCAGTGAAAAAGTGTTTCCTGATATTCAGATTGGAACTTCTGCGTTTCAGTTTAGGATAGGATAGGATAGGATAGGATAGGATAGAATAGAATAGAATAGAATAGAATAGAATAGAATAGAATAGAATAGAATAGAATAGAATAGAATAGAATAGAATAGAATAGAATAGTTAGAGTTCATTATCTCTGGTCCTGTCACTGGGCATCACTGAAAAAAAGAGCATGGCTATGCCTTCTTTGCACCCTCCCTTCAGAAATTTACATAGGATTCCCCCAAGCTTTCTCTTCTCTAGGTGAAAAAGTCCCACCTCTCTTAGCATCTCCTCACAGGAGAGATGCCCTAATCCCTTTATCATCCTTTTGGCTTGGACATTACTGGACTCTCTCCAGTATGTCTTTTAAAGGAAGCAAAGGGGATTAAAAGAGGTTTGAGTTCCACCTGCAGAAGAGACAAGACTAAAAAGCCAGCACAAAAAAGCAGATTTACTTCAGTTTTAAAACTTTGTAGTGACTTTTCTTCATTCCCACAGTATTTAATATATTAATTGAAGAACTATAGGATCTGTGACTGATGGTGAGATAAAGCTGCATATAGCACCAGTTAACACAGACAACACATTTTAGCGGCATCACACTTAACATCAGGTGTTCAAAATGTTACCTGCTTAACCTAATCTCCTTTTATTGTCAGCTGAAGGAAGTGAACATTTTTAGTCACAGTTTGTCAAGAACTTTTTTTTTTTTTCCAGAATAAGGAGAAAAAAGCCTCGTAAAAATCAACCCCATTAGACAAGATACATAACTGATTCAGGAATTATTAGTGTTTGGAAGGAATTGCACTGAAAGACTTTCTCATGGATTCAGCTCTAAAGAAATTAGTTTGGTCTCTCTTTCAAAAGACAAAGGAATGAAGAAAGTCTGGTTGATACTTAAAAAAAGTAACCCCTCCAAATCCTGCTTGTTATCCTTATGAAGGGTGCTTTCAGGTTCTAGGATATATTTCTGTTCATACTGTAACAAATGTGCTCCAGGGTATTTTTGGAAGAGGGATTTCCTGTCAAACCTAAGGATCCTTCTTCATTTGTTAGTAATAGTAGCTAGAATATTGCCATTGACTATGAATCATTATTCTTTCCTTGATTGTAGCTAGATCATCATAAATGAGGAAGATTCTCACAGAACTGTTCCTTTCCAAGACAAATGTTATTGTTTTGGTCTTTTACCTGATTACTGGTTGTTATAATAGCAGAGCTTCTGCTGCAGAATGCTTAATTAGGTAATTTGCAGAATTTTTATTATATGTTATTCTTTATCAAATGACAACAGCTACAGAGATTAATAAAGCTGTCAGCTGCAGATAAATTCATAAATGTTTATTTCAATTTCTATTCTCAAGTGTTACTTATTAGAATATTGTTTTTATTGAGGGAACTGAAGTGGATAGATTGAGTAGAATTATCTCTTTAACATGAGGTAGCTTCAGATTTTGTTGAATATTATCCTCCCTAGAGAAAGGTCCAGTAGCAGTAGAATTTTAACAAATGGATAGACAAAGAGTTTTTATTAGTATGGACTACATATTTGACTGGCAGTAAGGAGCACCATAAAGTGCTAAGAAAAAGGAAGGGGAATTCAGTACCAAATAAATATTTGACAAAAAATGCATCCTTACCTTCTTGAATTATATAATCAGAAAAGCAACAGAATTAATTTAATCATTAATATAATTTTAATGACAATGTTCAAAATAGTAAGAATTATACTATTTTCCTTTAATAAAAATACGAAAAATACAAGTCTTTAATTGAAAATGTTCAGTGAACCCACACACTTGTTTTCAAAGAGAATTTTGCAGTCATACTGAGTCACATAGCAGCACAGGAATTCTTATGGCTGATTCCAGTGGATCTCACAATTCAACTACCCTTCTGGCTCTACCCTTCTATTTAACAATCTTCTTCCGTTTTGGATACCTCTTAATTTAAGCATTGGTGCTAAATGGAATCAGGAGGGTTTTTAAGAATAGTATGTCAGTCTCTCCCCTAAGGAATAGTCAAAGTCACAAGTGTCTTGACCATAAACCCACTCTATAGGGAATCTTTGTACCACTTTTTATAAATACCAGTATTCATGTGTGCATGTTTGTGGATCAACAGAGGCAGGAACTGAATAGCAAATGAACAAACATATAAAGGACTTTGACTTGCCTGGTTTGTAATGTACCTAAAGCTTCCTTCTGCTTTCTTTGTACTGAGTTTCTTAGTCATAAGGATTTTGCCTGATATTAAAAATAAAATTTGAAAACCATTTACATCCAGAATCTTTCCTTCAGCTCCCTGATCAAATTATTAAATGATTCAAGCCATCCATATTCACGTTCCAATAAATGACCTGATCAAGTCTAACAGATGATAATAGAAGACTCATTTTAATTGCATTCACATTACTTGGGACTAAATAAGTTTATGAACATTTTAAATTAGAACATGAAAATGTGATGTAGTCACAGGTAATTTTAAAGCAAAAAAAGTGGATTTATATTCAGTAAATGAGCTGTTCATTGTCCACAGTGAAGCAGAGTGGAATTACACTGTTTCTATGCAAGGTCATGGGAATGGTGTGCAGAACCTTATTATCTCTGGGGAAATCCAAAGACAAGTTTTGTTTCAAGACTTACTCAAACTGATAACATTTCTCCAATTTACTCTGGAACTTTCAATGCTCACACTGCTTTTGCTTTACTGTGCATAGTAGATTTTGGTCATCTCTCTATTGCATCTATTCCTTTAGAACTCACTAACTGCATCTACACTGTCATAAAGAGAAGTCTCAAGGTCAGGTTTGCCACATCTACCCAGAGCTGGACATGGAGCAAGCTGCCTAGTACACCAGAAAGGGGAGCAAAAGAGGGACACCTCAAGGACTTGTTCAGCTCTAAATAGGTGTGGTGGTTTTAATCTAGGCCTTCCCTGGTTACTAGTTTGTAACCAAGGAAGGGGCAGTGTTCCCAGTATCCCATACGATTTTTACGTAAATCAAGGTATAAATGAGAAGGGAGGAGAGGCCTTCGTTCTTCTTCTCTTCCGCCGAAGTTTGAGAACAGTGAGTCCCTGCGTTGGTCTCGCTTATCTAAGGCTGAGACCTGCAGCATCCACTGACCTGCCACGTGGAGGCTTGGAGAGTGCTAGTGTGTCTGCCAAGCCTGCTTTCTAAGGGACATGGTGAGATTTGTTTTACTAGTTATTTTACTAGTTCTCGGGTTTGATTGCGCATATCTATTCGGTGTCCCTTTTTGTTTCCTTTTGTCCCTTTTTTCCCCTTTCCCTATCCCTTCAGGGGGTGTTTGGATTCCCATTTGCTGTATACATAGCATCTTAACTGTAATATACATAAAATATATTTTTTATATAACTAGCTTGGTTTTCGGGTTCTTCAATTTGCATAGTTTTTTTCCTTTGCCCTGGGGGAAGTAGGGAGGGGGAAGCGGGGGGAGGCTGCTACTGGGTTTTCGGCATTTGGCAGGGAGCCAAGTCTGAACCATCATAATAGGTTTCATGAACCTTGGGACTTCAGCATAACCAAGCCCAGCCCATTGTGTCCATGTCTCCCATCTGCTCTTATGACATGATCAGTAGGAGAATAAATGCAGTGGTTTGGAAATACTTAAAAGGTTCCCAGTGATGCCTCTTACATAGTTATCATGGACATCCGGAGTCAAGCCTTGAGGTTATACTGGGCTTTATATCAGACCTGGCATGGAGCAAACAAAGCATATTTGCTTTAAGGT